GACCTTATGGTCAAGAAAACTATTCCACTTATAACCACTCCACAATACAAATTATTCAGCTTTGTATTACCCAGGATGACGTAATATTTGATTCACTAAACATTTCCTGAATGTAAAATGTATTGGATAAATATATCTACTTTATAATATTTTGTTATCAGTGGGAATAACTGTGAAGGAGCACTTACTATAAAAAAAATTAACATGAATTCATATTTTTTATAGTTTCAGAGCTATTATTATCCGTCTGCTATACAATTTTCAAAATGTCTTTACCCTTTCATCATCCCTTCGTCCATTCCTATTATTCTATCCACACCGCCTTCGAAAACTCTCAATAGAAACCTAAAAAACAAAGAAAAAAACTTTACCTTCTTTGAGAGAGAACTTCAGCGTTACAAGAAAAATATATTGGATAACTATAACTACTTTATAATATTTTGATTATCATGGGAATAACTTTAGTGATGAGGAAGCACTTACTATAAAAAAATTAACAGAATTCAATTTTTTTTTTATAGTTTCAGAGCTATTATTATCCGTCTGCTATACAATTTTCCAAAATGTCTTTACCCTTTTATCATTCGTATTCCTTTATTCTATCCGCACCGCCTTCGAAAACTCTCAATAGAACCTAAAAAAAAAACAAAGAAAAAAACTTTACCTTCTTTGAGAGAGAACTTCAGTGTTACCAGAAAAATATATTGGATAACTATAACTACTTTATAGTATTTTGGTATCAGCGGTAATAGCTTTAGTGATGAGAAGGAGCACTTAAAAAATCTACAAGAATTTTTATTTTTTCTATAGTATTAGAGCTGTTATTATCCGTCTGATGTATGGTTTTCAAAATATCTTGACTCTTTTATCATCCCTTCGTCCATTCCTATCATTCTATCCACACCGCCTTCGAAAACTCTCAAAAGAGCACCTACTATAAAAAAGATATCAAGATTTTTTTTTCTATAGTATTAGAGTTATCATTATCCGTCTGCTATACAATTTTCAAAATGTCTTTGTCCTATTATCATCCCTTCGTCCATTCCTATATTCTATCCACACCGCCCTTCGAAAACTCTCATAAAGAAACCTGAAAAAAAAGAAACGAAGAAAAAAGAACTTTACCTTCTTCTTCGAGAGAACTTCAGCGCCACCAGATAACTCGAGTCCCCGCACCTGCTGTCCGTGCCTTTCAGCGTCCAAGACTGGCACTCACACTGGCACTTTCCCCTGACTCTCGTGTGAAGGGAGATAGACGCGAGAGTCACGTCATGAGTTACATCATGTTAAATCAACTTTCATGTCTATTCGTTCGAGTTGCATTACGTGGGTAGACAGGAGGGGGGAGGGAGAGGGAGAGAGAGGAAATAAAAGGCAAAGTGTAATAGATATTTTGTTATCCCTCATAACTTTTGAATGGCATTTAGAGAGGCGTTATGTTGTGTTCTTACAACTCGTGTTTACTCTGCAGAATAAAAAGATGATGAAGATGTAACAGTTAAAGTGATATTCATTTCTATTCCTATCAACGCCATATCATTTCCTTCCGTTGTTTGACAGTTCCCTGAAGAGAAGAGAGAGTGAGAGAGAGAGAGAGAGAGAGAGAGGAGAGAGAGAGAGAGAGAGAGAGAGAGAGAGAGAGAGGAGAGAGAGAGAGAGAGAGAGAGAGAGAGAGAGAGAGAGAGAAAAGAGAGGAGATAAAGAGAGATAAAGATAGATAGATAGATAGAGAGAGGCGGGGAGGGAGAGAGAGAAAGTTATTTATAGATAGAGAGAGAGATGAATAGTGTGTGTGTCTATGTGTGTGAATTCATGTTGAACAAATTGCAACAGGAACAACGAAGGGAAGGGGCCAAGAAACACATGAATATGCCGAAGGCCTTTTTCACTATTGCTTCGTCAGGGGCATATGCTACATGAGGTACATAGAGGAGTATATATACAATTGCTGGGTGATCAGGTCACGTCGGTAATCAGGTGAGCGACGACCTTGGCTGGTTCATGGCTCCCGTAGCGGTGTTGATTGTTGTTAGTTGTATGGATGAACGCCGTTCTACCATCTTCCTTTGTCGTGGGGCCAGGCCTTGCTTTATGATGGAGGCCTGGGACCACGTTCGGGAGGTGACCATCGGTTGTCTGTGTGAACAACGAAGACGCTTCTTCGTGTCATGGCGTCGGAGAGCGCTGCGGTGTTGACTGATTCGTTGTTCGTGCAGTCCTCGTGATGTCTCGCCTATGTATACCTTATCACAGCCCCCACAAGGTATGCTGTACACCTGGCTGAGGGGTCTGTTATGGTTTGACCTCTTCTCTCTCACGATGTCTCCGATCTTCTTGCCTGAAGACGTAGCTATCTTGAGAGTATGGGCCCACAGGGCCTGCAGGTGCTCAGTCAATTCCGAGTGGGGGATGATTATCCTCTGAGTTCTACTTTGTGTGTCCTCACCTCTCGGTCTGCTCATGATCTTCTCGGCCTTGCGTCGGAGGTGGGTGAGCATGGAGCGGGGATAGTGGAGGTGTTGGAAGGTGTTGCAGATGTGTTCCATCTCATCCTCCAAGAACTCAGGGCTGCATATTCTGAGGGCCCGGAGGAAGAAACCAATGACCACGCCTTCTTTGGTTCTCTTACTATGGACAGAAAAATAGTGAATGAAATCATCTTTATTTGTGGGTTTCTGTATACTGGAAATACCGGTCCATTAGGTCTCCTGTGGATCATGGTGTCCAGGAAAGGGAGTTGTTCATCCCTCTCTCTTCTGTGGTGAATTGGATGGAGGGTGCACTGCATTGAGTCTGTGGAGGAGATCAGGCAGGTTCGTCCTGGTTGGTACTACAGCGAGGATGTCGTCCACGTAGCGGAGCCAGACCACGTTCCTTCCCACGATGTTACGGTAATGGTCGGCCTCGAGGGTTTCCATGAACAGCTGGGCAAGGACTGCTGAAAGTGGTGAACCCATCGCAAGTCCCTGGATCTGTTCGTACTCGCGTCCTCTGAATTCGAACGGGCCAAATTCCACGCAGAGACGGATGAGTTCGATGTAGTCATCTATCTGTAGTGGTAGTTCGTCCTGGTCCATTCTTCTCAATGCTCGTTGTGCAGCTTTGATGGCCCCGTCGATTGGCACGTTCGTAAACAGCGACTTGACATCGAAGCTGACGAGCTTTTTGCACTTCATGCCGACACCTTGCAATTTGGCCATCATATCCGAGGTGTTCGATAGATGGCAACCGCTGATGGAGTTTAGGGCGGCTGATAGGGGAGCTGCGAGTTTCTTAGCCAGGCGGTGTGGAGCACTTCCGGTCCCGTTGGTGATGGGTCTCACAGGGTTACCTTCCTTGTGGGTCTTGATGCTCCCACGGATCGTTGGTACGCGTGGCGTCTCCTCGAGCAGGTGGAGCATGGACTTTCCCTTCTCTGAACCTCTCAGGACCTTCCTTGCTGCTCTGTTGAATTCAAGGGATCTTTTCTCCGCATTCCCTCTTTTGGCTTTTCTGTAAGTAGAAACATCAGAGAGCAGTAGGGGAGAGGGAGAGAGAGAGAGAGAGAGAGAGAGAGAGAGAGAGAGAGAGAGAGAGAGAGAGAGAGAGAGAGAGAGAGAGAGAGAGAGAGAGAGAGAGAGAGAAAGAGAGAGAGAAAGAAGAGAGAGAGAGAGAAAAGAAGAGAGAGAGAGAAGGAGAGAGAGAGAAAGAAAGAGAGAGAGAGAATGAGAGACAGGATTTAGAGATAGATAAAGAGGGAGAGATAGTGAGTGTAAGCCCCTACAAGTACAATACGGCTATTAACACTCTGTATAATCTCGTATAAAAGAAGGTCACCTACGAGCTACAGATAAGAAGGTCACCTGCGAGCTACAGAGAGACAGCCTAAGACATACTGCCTGGATTAGACCTCTGTCCCTCAGTTGGACTTCTCTCACCACAGTGAACTCTCTGCACACTGCCGCTGATCGGCCTCGTTACTAAGATAGATAGAGAGAGGAACAGCGTATGTGTGTGTGAAAGAGAGAGAAAGACAGGGAAAGAGAGAATCAAACAGAAGAAAATGTTCTTTAGAGTTAGTGAATATTGAGACTTACTAACGGACCTCCTTAAGATATGTTCGAGTCGTTTCTATGATCTATAGAACGTTTCTTCTGCTTATATTATATATATATATATATATATATATATATATATATATATATATATATATATATATATATATATATATATATATATTAATGTTGTGTACTTTTAATATAATCTATATTTTCTATCGTTTCCTGTATATATATATGTATATATACATACATACATATATGTATATATATATACATACATATATATATATATATATATGATGCATGCATGTGTATGTTCTCACACACACATATATATACATATATATGTGTGTGCCTGTGTGTGTGTGTGTTTTCAAATAAAATGCTTATATTTTGTGTTACAACTCGCATCATACATTGTAGTGGTAAATGGATAAGACAAGGATTTATGTTGAATAAAACTAGGTTTTATCTTATATTTGTTTTTTTTTTAGAAAGATACAACTCGTATCCATATGACTGCACTGTACAACATATACTGTACAGTATGTGGTATGCATATAAAATAAATATGAACAATAACAATGTATACTGATCATAATACTGATTCGTCTGAGACCTTTACAGCAGTATTATGAATACTAGGAGTGTACAGTCATCATCTTTAGGAGTATCTCTATAATATACAAAGTCACAATACAGATTTATGTCCAGGTGTATAAGCGTAAAATAAATACACTTTTCTGTCGTCGCTAAAACTCAAAAAAATATTCACCGTGCAGTCCACCCGCACGAGATACACCCCGTTTTAAGAGTTTTGAGTTCTGGAAAGTGTATTTCGCACGTGTCTGGAAAGTACTTGATGATCAGCAGAATTTCTGTCTTGTGTCTTTGATCTTTCTTGCATGCAATGAACTAAGTCATTATTAATTTAGAATATCTAAGTCATTATTAATTTAG